CTCCCCACCGGCGACCTTTGGGGGGATCCCTTCGGCCCTGCTCGCCTCCCCGGGACGGGTCAGCTTCAGCCCTGCCAGCTCTTTCGATTGGCACGAAGGTGCTGCTGCCCTTAGGCTTTAGGAGAAGCTTTAAGCTGGCGGGCCGCCGCGAAAGGGTCTCCAGAAGGTGACAGGAAAAACAGTGTATGAACCATGTAGGCTTGAATTTGCCTATGCAGGCATCTGTGCCTCGCTGGGAACTTCCAGTGGCGTCTCAAAACAGAAAATAGTTGAAAAACATTTTTCTAAGAGAGTTTCGCTATTTCTACTAGTCACAGTTTCAAGCTTTGGTTGAAAGCGTAAGCCCTTTTGCAGCGGGAAACTTAAGCGAGAAGCTGGCATGAACTGATCACTTGGGGAAAAAGGAAGCCTTAAGAAGTTATTTCCTGATCAGCAGGACTGTTGAGCCAGGGCTGCTGTGCTTCTCTGTCCCCGTCTTTCTCTGTATTCCCCATGACACACTGTATGCACAGGCAGAGAGTTAATTGCCCAGGGACTAGTTTGAGGTAGCAGGGCTGAGTGGTCCGGCTCTTGCTTGCCACATCGTCATCGGCAGCAGTTCTCTTTTTCTTCCTAAGTGAGGAAATCACTTTGGGACTCCTACCGACCTGAATTCATTCACGTTTTGTGACACTTGTAGGAATTTGGTTATCACTGAAACTTTTGCAGTATTCAAACTATTTTTTTTGATGGATTTTAAAAAAGAAGCTGGTTGGGAGGAAGAGGCTGACAGTCCATGTGGTTGTAGAATTTCCGTGAGAAACTAAGGAAGTCACGAAAATAAGTGCTGCTTTGAAATATGTGCAGTAAAATGTTTGTATTTAGGTGGCCACTTTTGAAACTTTGCATTAATATGAAGGTCCTGTGAGGGAAGTCTCTCTCTCAACTCCTCAGATCACCTCTCATCTTTTGTTGCAGGCACTTTAAAAATGCTGAATCCCTCTCTGTACTACTGAAGAGAATATTATACACAGCTTTATAATATTTGAGATAGTATTAACTGCACTCAAATAAATAATAAGATTAAAAGTTGGATTACGTTGACTTCCTGCACAGAAAGTGTTTGTTACTAGTTGGCCAAATTGTTTCTATTGCCTGGGGAAAAGTGGATTGTGACTTATTTTATAAATACACTAGGGTGGTTATAAGAGAGTAACTTTCTTTTACTGGGAATCTGTTATTGTAGATTTCTTATTTTGTTTATCTGCTTAATTTCTAGGTGCTAAAGGCAGGTAACCATCCATACCAAATACCTGGAATTTTGAAAGTTTTACTGTCCTAACACTACATAACGTAGTATTGTTATGTTGATGCTATATCAGCAGATAAATTGGAAAACAATTTACAAGATGCCAACCGTTGAAGATCCAAGCAGTGAACAAAACTTCATTGCACATTGGATGTCCGATAGTTCCCGTGCTGGAGTCTTATTAGATCCTAGTTTTACTGGTTTGAAAATCAGCAAAGAAAATTTGTTATCTGGACCTGAAAACATCACAGCTTTCCCTGCTGAAGAATTGCATCTTTCAGACAGCTGTTCTGTAAGTGATGACTCCTTGTGTGAAGAAGAGTCTGGCACCTCTTGTACACTTCAGCAACATACCACTGAAGCATCCTTTCCAGCAGCAGCATATAACATAGAAACCTCCAAAACAGACTTTGTCCATGGTGAAGTGGATGGTCAGAATAAATCCAGTCACAGCGATCCACTCTTACAAAAGCTTGAACAGGTAAAAATTCTAGAATTCTTCGACATACAGCAATTAAGATTTATTTTGTTTCTGCATAGGATTTGTCATACCTGGAAGTAAGCAAACTCTTTGCAATGTATAGAACACAGCAAGCTTAAAAGAGCAAGTCCTAAGTCACAGTTATGCCTGCATAAAAATTGGTGTCCTCGTGATGTGCAGTTATTCAGAGTCTAATTTATGTTGTTTCTAGCTGGCACAGGTTCCAGTCTAAAATGAAATTGCATTCAGTGGCAGTGTACTTGTTCTCAAAATCTTTTTACCTGGAAAGGTGAACACAGTTTCACAATGTTCTGTTGTTTCTTCACTTGAAGCTGCAGGAACAGGGTGCTGGGCATTACAGTGGTAGTGCTTCACCACAAATATTCACAACGTGGTGAAGTTGTATATTCTTGTATCTATAGCAACATCTTCTGTTAGTTCTCGAGTAGCTAAACACAACCCATATGCCTGGTTGTGTTTAGATGAAGAGAGATGTTAGTGTTGAATGTGATGAAGTATCCGTGACATTGGGACAAAAAGGCCTGGAATTACAATGCTGTGATGTTTTGTGTTTGTTTTTTTTTTTTTTTTTCCAATGCAAGCATGTCAGTTAATCCACTGTAACTGGCTATAAGTTTGCTCGTAGCTTTTCCCAATTACTAGATATGAATTATTAGCTGGAAGTTTTTGTAGGCACTTGAGTAGATCTTGCTGTTAAGGATTAAGAACTTGCCTCCTTGACCACTCTGCTAGCAGGTACCTCAGTACAAATCCCTCTGTTCACTCAAGTGGGGTGTGTAGGAATGTGTGTATGTATGTGTCTCCAGAGTAGAATTCCAGAACTTATGCGGTGCTATAAAAGTTTTCTCCTCTATTTTACATGGTAGGAAAATATTTATTAACTTTTTCAGTGTTGTCAGCAGTATCAAACAGTAGCTAAATGATAGATATTAGCTGGTTTAATGGTATCTTAAGAGGAATTGTTAAGTTTCCTGTCTTAGAAAGTTATTGACAATCTAATATATTATAAAAAAAATAAATCTGGTGCTTGCAGTGATGAATGTATTTTTGGATGTATGAGATTTTTTCCAGTTTGGTTTTCTGAGGATATTATTATCAGAACAGGTAGAAGAATGATTTCTTTAATAAATTAAGTGAAGGGGTTGGAGATGAGACTTAGGTGATCTTTAGATCTTGATCATTAGCTCACAGCTTCTACTTGACTAGTGCCTTACTTCTGTTTTCACTGGAATTTTAAAGGACTACAAAGAGAATTCAAGGGAAATTTTTCTTACCTGTTGGATGACAGGTGTGGTCCAATTGTTGATCTATGGAAGGATTTCATCAGGCCTCCTGTCTTTCCTTTGGAGGAGCTGGAACTAGCACATATATATGTGTTGGAGATACAGAGATGGGCATGGAGGTCCACCACCCATTGCTGTGGTTTGGTAGGGTACAGAATGCTCTGCCTTCATGTGGCCCTTGAGGCTGGTCTTGAGGAAGGGCCAGGGACACCTGCTACACAAGAAAATGAAGACTGGATTACAGAATTTAATCAGTATTTTAATTCTTTTTTTCAGGCAGCTTCATGAGTCTTAATGTTCTCTGATGCCCTTTTTCCCCTCTCTCGGTCCTTTGTATCTGTACTGTTCACTGTAACTGAGATCTTGGAGAGGAAAAAAAAAAACCAAAACCCACCCATACTTTTTCTGAAGCTTTAATTATTATGAAGTATTTCACATTTTGATAAAAACACAACATAGTAGAAGTTAATGTTAAAAGAGCAGAATTTGAATATTTTTCCCATGAAGTAGAAATGAGTGTTCTGATTCCTATTGTTTGCAGATTGGTCAATTAAAGACTAGTGGAACTGTTAACTGGGCAAACTGGAAATAGCATGTGCATTCATAAATAGCAAAAAATGAAAATTTTGTTTAGCATAGCATTTCATATTCTTAATTTCCTTCATGTTACACTTACCTAATGGAATATCTTTAAAGCAAGAAATACCTGTTGTTTTGATGACACTAATCCTGAGGTTCATTCTAAGTAAACCTAGCCTCTAATATATTTATTTTTTTGTTTGAAAAGCTGAAGGAATTGCAACAACAGAAACAGGAACAGCTAAAGAAACAACAGATGGAGCAACTTCAAAGGCTAATGGAAGAGCAGCAGAAGCTGCTTAGCATGGTGTCTGGCCAGACAGCAGTTCTTGGTAAGTTGAGAAAGAAAGCATATGACATACTTCGAGTAAACTGAAGAATTTAATCTCATTTTCCAGTTAAAAATCTGAAAGCATATTCAGTGTTCTTCATCTTGATTAGTCAAAGATAAATGTTGCATCGCTTCAGTGCCTGAAAGTTGAGTGCTGCTGTAGAAGGAGTACTGTCCTGTTTTTATAAAAGGCCAACTGTAATTGTAACTTGATCAATATGTGCTATGATGGGAGCCCTTGTTTCAAATAATGTACTTTAAATACACAAGACAGCGTAAACCAAACAGTTGCTTTCCTTTCTGATTAGCTGTTTCTCACAATACTTTTGATTGCTTTAAGCTATCACTGTATCCAAATGAAGTCATCCCTCCTTGTTTGTGCTCATGCAGCACATATTTGTTCAGGTGATGAACTGAACTAGACTAGGGAGCTGATCTGTACTGAAAAACAAACACTTGTAACCTGTATCAGTTTTCCAGTCTCGTTTGCTGTGTGCAAAGGGAGGGGACAGTGCTGGGCTGCAAAAAGCTTTTAGAGTTGGGGTATTTTCTCCTGTCGGCAGTATCAGTCCAACCTGACTTAAGTGATTATCTTTCTTTCACTCTGCCTACCTGAGAAAATGAATTTAGGGCTTAGCCTTAGGAGAACAAAATCCAGATTGCCTAATCACTTATTCTTGATCAGTAACGTAAGGATGGAGGCTGGGTGATCAATCTTGCAGTTCAGTGCCATGTCTTTTTCTCCTGTGGAACAGTGGTGGTGTAATACAAATACAATGACACAGCCATTTTTTTCTCTTAATTTCAAGGCTATACTGTAATGGCTGAAAGTCCAAAGCTAAGACCTGGGCATTCAGCAGGCTTAACAACTTTACACCAATTGCCATCATCTGGGTATCAGAATATCTTTGAAGACAGAGCTTATGCTCCGATTGTTTCTCCACATACACAAGACAGTGATTTTTTACAAAAGTTAAACAACAAAGAATGCACCTCATCTTTGAAGAACAGTCTTTCAGGAGTGTCTGCCTGTGAGAAACAAGCTCTGGGTGCGCCTCTGAAAATGCTGAATTCTTTGAAAAATGAGGAAGACAAATATATTACTGGTTAGTCATTTATAGAAAGGTAACTTGGTGTGTGGTGGGTTTTTTTTCCCCTTGTAGTTGTTAAGCAGAATTTTCTACTACTTATTGTGAGTGTTTTGTACAAGTGTTGGTTTACTTGATTTGTTGGTTGGTTTACTAACAGCTTACAGACCTCAGAGTGTTCCTGTAGTTATCCATGTGAGTTTTGTTAAAAGCAGCATAAGGAAAAAATCAAGTTGTTCTGCCTGTATGTATGTATGCTTGTCTGTTTTAGGCAGAAATTACAATCTTTACTGCTAAAGCTTACTTACGATAAAGACTGGGAAAATAGCAAATAATGATAGATACTGCATAGCTGAATTGCTTGAGCTGAACTGTACCCACGTTTTCACATGGCAAATGGAAAATAACAACCTATCCAGGGATACAGAATGTCTTCAGACCAGCTCTATTGTGAGGATTAGTGCCTGAACTGGAATTAGGAGTCAAGACGGGTTGATAAAGAGATCCCATCATATGACTAAAAATTATTTGTACATCAGAAGCAATGCACTGGAGTTCTTTATCTTTCTTCCTCTTCTAAGTTTTACCACTGGCACCAGCATGACTACTATGCTGCTGTGACTAGAATAGTGGTTTTGGTTTTAATCTAGCAGTTTAATAAGGTTGCTGAAAACCTGTAGAGGTTTTGGGGGGGAAAAGGTATGAGATTGCATTTTATCATACTTCATACCAGTTTAAAGCTTTTAATCAGAGGGCTTGGTCTAAGAGGATGTGAAAGGACAAATTGATCTTCATTTGTACATATATACATGGGAAACATGCTTGATAACAGAGTTCTTCAGTACAGCAGAAATCCAAATTTGTTCAGTTATTTTATTTTTAAGCCATAAATTAACAATACCAAAGATGATGAACAATCAGAATGGGTTATTTAAGGTCTGTGGAAAATTTTTAATACGTAATTGGATGTTCCTTTAAAAAGAAAGCTCAGATTCAAATAATAATTATTTTGGGGAAATCTTAGGACTATTTTATGTAGGAATTCCGACTACGTTACCATGAAGCTCCCTTCTGGTTTTAATCTGACCTGAAGGTTGCTTAAAGTATGAGCTGAAAACTGATTTGTTGTTGAGGAGGAAAAAAAATTCTCTTAATTTCATAGGAAAAAGCATGTGGTGTCCAGAACAAAAGATGGAAATATTAATGGAGAGTGAAGATTGTCACATTGATCCTTTATATGTGGAAAGTGCAGATATCTCTGAAAATTCCAGCAGAGGAAAACACTTGTGGACTAATACAGAGGAAAGGTAATTCAGACCATTATTATGCTGTTTTTATCAAATAACCATGAGTTTGGTTGAATTCTGAGTCCTGGTTGAAAGAGTCTGATATTCTCAATATGTATAGCTTTCTCAGCCAAGGATTCCATTTTGCTAGGTACTGTGGAGACCTGTAGTAAGAGAGGCTCTGGCTTGAAATTGTTTATGCTGTGAAAGATGTGATGTTGTGTATTGTCTGGAGAGGTGCGTGCAACCTGGGGTGATGGTAGTTTAGAAGCACGTTTTAGTATAGGCTTAGTATATAAGCAGTTGTAATTACTGCCCAATTTGATTTATTACAACCTCCTTATCCACTGTTGTGTAGTGAAAGTCGTTATGTCAAGGAGGAGTGTAAGGCTGTGACTTTTTAGTTTTTTACCAGGAGTTATGTTTGTTTAAACATCTGTATACGGTTAAGAAGTAATAATAGTGCTTGTGGCAGAAGCCTTCTCATGTATGGTAAAAGTTTTGTTTATGGAGTGGGTAGAATAAAAGTAGTGGTTGGCATTGTTTTAGAGCTCTGCCTTGTCTGCTGGGTCATCACAAGACAAGAAATACTTATTCCAGGCTGTGGTGAGTTGAGCCCAGCCAGCAACTAGGCACCCGCCCAGTCACTTGCTCACTCTGTCCCCCAGAGCAGAATGGGAGCGGGTATCAGAGGAGCAAACTTGAGAAAACTTGTGGGTTGAGATAAAAGCAGTTTAATAAGTAAAGGAAAGAGGGGTGGGGGGGAAACCCAAGAGGTGCAAAGGCTGTCATTCTCTACCTCCCACAAGCAGACTGATGCCTACCTAGTCTCTGAGCAACAGCTACTTTTGGAAGACCAAGACCCCAGTTTTTACTGAACATGATGTTACGTGGCATGGAATATCCCTTTGGTCAATTTGGGTCGGCTGTACTGGCTATGTCCCCTCTCAGTGTCTTGCCCACCCCCCGCATACTCGCTGTGGTGTGGCGAGCAGCATGAAAAACCAAAGAAAGATTTGATGCTGTGCAGGCACTGTTCAGTAATAGCTAAAACATTGGTATGTTGTCAACACTGTTGTAGTCGCAAATCCAAAACACAGCACCATATGGACTGCAGGAAGAAAGCTTGATCCATCCCCCCAGACCCAGTGCAAGGCTGTGAAAAAGAAGGAGTATCAAAGGGGGAGATATGGAGTACAGTCTCAGTAGCATTACTGAGTGAGAAGGTGATACTGTAGAAATTGGCAGTATGACTAAAATACGAATGGAAGTGGTGGTCTGGACAGAAGAAAGGGTCGTTGAGAAAAGCAATGAAAGAAGAAACAGCAAAGCCTGCATACAGTATCCTTTAGATATGTATATTAACCATAGCAGGGATTTGATAAACCATTTCTCAAAAGATAAACAGCTAGTGTTATAATGCATTTCTCAGATTAAATTTGACACTTAATGACCAAAGTACCTCATAATTTGTCATCTTTTATGTAATTACACCTTAGGTCTTTAAATAGCAGTGGTGATAAACACAGAGAAATGTAAGACTTGATTTTTTTTTTTTTTAATTACACTAGACCTATTAAAGCTGCGATTCAGGAGAAGAAACAGACATTTGAAGAATTCCTGGAAGAACAGATACAACTAGAAGAGCAGCGTCTGGAGCAAAACCAGAAGTTACAGGTTATTTATTTATTTTTTTTAACTTCATTGTTTTTTATGTATTGCACCAAGATGTGATATGTGCTTTAAAAATACACAAGGAAGATTCTAGCATCAAAAGTTAACACCGAATGAAATAGTCATGTTTTTAAAAATAAAACAATAAGCCCCAAATATTTCACTTGTTTAAGATTTCTTTAGAAATCCAGTAGAAATGTACTGTATAAGTTCATATTCACATGTGGGGTATATTTGAAGGAATTTTCAAACTGTGTAAGGGGCTTTTTAACATTTTGTGTTTTACTTTTCCTCACCCCTTGTCAGGAGACAAATGGATCAGCCATTCAAAAACCAGTGATCAAACGACCGTTCCTGAAAAGAGGAGAAGGCTTAACAAGGTTCACTAATGCAAAGTCTAAAATTACAAAACTTGGAGAAAGCACCTCAAAACTTCAACAAAGGGATTCAGATGACAGAAATGTTATTAAAGTGGACAGATCACAAATACAGAAGAAAACTATGCCTCCTGGCAAAGAACCGGTTTCTGAGAACCCTTTTGCACCATGTAAAAAATATAACCACCCTGATAAAGCAAAACATTGCCCTATTCAGAAGAACCTGGTACTCAGGAATCACAATGGAAAAAATACCTCACCATTAGAAACAAGAATGCAACCAGGAAAAAATCATGATGGACAGATGAGAGATTCTTTCCTATCGGAGATTAACAACAAAATAGAAAATAAAGAGAACATAGTAGAATTTGCAAACGCTAACACTGGCAAAATTGGAAACAAATTACCTGGCACAGAAAAGCCTCGGTTGTCTCATGAGCTGGCCAGTGCCTTTTCTAATTCTAAATGTCCTATAGGTCACCCTGTAAAGGATCCAGAACTGTCTTTTGAAGTTTCATTTCAGAATAAGCTGGAAAACTGGGAAAAAGAAAAAGAAAAAGAGAATCTAGAATTAGATGAATTTTTGTTTCTAGAACAAGCTGCAGATGAAATATCTTTCTCAAGTAATTCCTCATTTGTGCAAAGGATCTTAGATCAAGATCAGCAAACTTTAAAAGGCCGTAGAATGTCTTCTACCCCTATCAAGGCAAAACAGCAGCAAGTAAAGGCGTTGGCTGTTGAACTTACAAATAAGAAAAATAAAAAGGCAGACTGTATGACACAGGGTAATATAAATGATAGAGCAGTTATGCATACAGTTTCAAATTCAGGAACAGCTGTTAGAATGAAGGATCCATTGAATAAAACGGACAGTGTAATATTTTCAGCTTCTTCCATGACAGCAGCTCCTGTTTTGAAAAGTAATCAATGGATTATAAATGAAGATGAGGGTGAGGGCAGTGGTGATACTACTACAGATTCTGAGAGTGAATTTGAGACCACATTAAAGCATGAAAATGAAGATGCTAAGACATCCTTTATGAGCCATAGAGAAAGTGATCCAGAATTTTTTGATTATGGAGGTTCTGTTACAGACATCAGCAAAAAAAGCAAAAATGGAGATGATGACCTTGGCTTGTCAGACAAAGATTGCAATGCACTGTCAAAGCAAAAGATTAGAAAAGCTTCAGACCATCTGAGAAGCATGTCTTGTATAAGTAGGAATAAGTTTGAGTTTGATGATGAAAGAACATGGAGCGATCTCGATGAAGATTATGTTAACACTGATTTACCTGAAAAATGTACTAAAATGCCTTTACAGACGGACTTTTCCAGTAAGAATGATAAAACTGTCCCAGATAAAGCAATAAAGAGAAAAGTTGCCTCAAAGAGGGGAGATGAAGTGTCCAAAGAGTCTGCAGTGGACAGTGGTTCAAATGGACCTCCTGTATCAAACCTGATGATGAAACTCTTTCCTTCACTGAAACCGAAACAGAAGGCAGGCTGTCATTCAGAGCATGAAATCAAATCAAATGTGGAACAGGAGCCGGGAGGTGAGAGAACAGCAACTGGTAGGAAATGTTGAAGAAGACATATATTACAAGTCTTTCCTTGTAACGCTTAAGCTGCATCGTGACATTACACCAAGGGGTGTAAGTACAGACTTCTGCTGCAGGGAATGGCCCTATTCTCACCTTTCATCTCCCCTCCCCTCCCAGTTGCATGTCTGATGTCGGATCTAACAATTATGCAGCTTCCAGTATGAGTACGATCAGTGAAAACTTCCTGCCCCCCCCCCCCCCCCCCCAAAGCTAGTTTTCTGTCAGACCAACTCATTGAACTAGCATGATCTGGAGCTGCTCGATCACTGTACCCAAATTAAAGAAAGTGTCAAACCCATGCTGAAAATGAAGTGGTACCTCCCTTTCCAGTGACAGTGTGCATTTACATCACAGTAGGGTTATGCTATGCATTGTTAGGTTAGCTTGTTCCCCTTATATAATTATGGAGGCGGCAGCCCTGGCCGTATTTTCCAACAGGAGTATAGTATTTAGAGAATGCATGTGGAATATGGGAAATACGGATTCATTTTTCTGCTTTACCCAAGTTGATTATGACCATATGGTTATAGTCGGGGGAAGGACTGCCTCTAAAAGCTCATGTTGAAGCTGTTGCATTTATGTGAGATCATTGAAAATGTGGTTTTTCAGTGAAAGTATGATGGCATAGCCTAGCATATAAATCTCTTCTCTGTAAGGTCGTGAGATCTTGGTTTCAAACTCTGCTCCAGTGAATGTTTAGGGTTTTGTTTAGGTTTTTATGAAAAGTTCATATGAAAGCTGCTCTTTCTGCTTACTGTTTTGTGGAGAATTGATTTTGTAGGGTTGTCTAAAGGTGTGTGCTAGATGTTGTTTGTCAGAAGAGGGGTAGGGTGTTTTTACTGAATCTCAGAGCATTTAAGGGTGAATGAGACGACTACCTACACTGCAACATCAGTATTTAGGCTCTTCTCTTGCATACCAAGAACTGGGCTATTAAAACCCTGGGAGTGTTAAGTAGTGACTGAACAGGAAACTGGGTTGGTGAAAAACCCCACAAATCCTATTGTTGGCCTCTGCAATAGATTTCACATTGGTGATGGGTGTGAGAAGGCTTTGTTGTGAATAAAACTTGGAAAAACTTAACACCCATAAACTTTCCTGTTCGATGCTTGGCCCTTATACCTTGATTTAATTTCTCTAGCTTGACGTGAAGCCCTTCACATTCCAATTCCTAATATATATTTAGTTGTACAAAGATGATATACTCAATATTTGAGCTACTTGAGTAAATAGTGCAGAGTTCTTTAAAATGTCACTTCTGTGTTATTTGAATAGTAGGAATCTTTTGCAATAGAATCATAGAATCATAGAATCGTTTAGGTTGGAA